AACCCTGCTGTCGTTTGATGCTGCTTGCCTATCTCGTGTTTGCTCCCCCTGGCTGATGGTTGGCAAGCCCCATGTAGAGGAAGGACAGCTGCTCAGCCTCCCCGTCATGAGAATCTTGGCTGCGTGCGCGTGCTTTTGTTTTTCTCGGCTGGCGTCATGCGGGAGTTCGTGGGTGGTGGTAATGGTGGTGGTGGGCTAGCCGGCTAGCACCTCCACCTTGGAGGCTTACACGAGATTCCTTCACCATCCCTAGGTCGGCTGCTCCGCTCGCCCTCGGGAATGGCACGTTGCAGCAAGCTGGGAGACGAGGCAGCCGGGGAACATGGCGAGGAGGCCGAGCAGCCTGAGTGCTGGATGATGGATGAAAGATATGGCCTCTCGTGTATATAAGAGAGGTGATGCCCTCGCTATCCATCGACATCTTTTCCCTTCATCTCCATCCTCATCAGCATCTTCAGAGCTTCCTCTCACTCACAAACATCAAACAACAACCTTCGCTCGCCTTTCTATAAACATCTTACCATCGCTTCTTTTCTTAAGCAAACACTCCCAACAACCAACAAAAGCCCTTCACTCGCTACCACTCTTTCTCACGCAACCAACAAACCAACCATCAAAATGCAGTTCACCACCGTCCTCGTCGCCCTCCTCGCCACCGCCGTCTCGGCCGCCCCAGCCCCGGCCGAGGTCTCCAAGCGCGCGTGCCAGTTCGTCGCCGCCTCCCCTCCGGGCGTCTCCGTGTCCAAGGGCAGCCCCCAGGGCGTGGCCTTCTACCCTCCCTCGTCGGCCGTGGGCGCCTGCCAGCTCGAGGCCTACTTCCCGGCCGGCTTCGCCATCTCGTCCTCGGGCGCCGCCGCCGTCAACGTCATCGACGTCAACGGCAACAGCCCGGGCTCCATCGTCGGCACCATCACCTTTGCGAGCTCGCCGACCGAGCCCACCCGCCGCTTCATCAACTCGTTCGGCTGCAGGTCCTACATGGCCTACCGCCTCGAGATCGCCGGCGCGGGCCCGGGCTCCGTCAGCTTCCCTGCCACCCCCGGCGCCGGCCTGCGCATGAGCCACAGCTGCTAGATGGCTTTTCGCCTCTGCAAGAGCAGCCTCGACTCTCCATCTTTGGCTATGTGAATAGCTCTCGGTCCTTCTCACATCTTTCATCTCCTTGTCACTCCTTTGGCGTCTCCTAGACTTTTCTCCCTCTCGCATAGCATATCTGGTTATGGGTTCTTTTTCTCAGGGATTCCTTCTCTTCTCAACATTCACTCATCTTGCACATATTTAATGCCAACCTTTTCAAGATCGACTTGGGGTTTTGTGATCACAAAGGGTGATCGACGGGGTGGTTCACTTCTTCTCACAGCAACACTTTTCTTCCCTTCTTCCCTTCCCTTGTTCTGGCTGCTTTAGAGGGCGTTTAATCTTCTGGCCTTTTTCCTCACACTCCTTCAGCATCCTAGGGCACAATCCTTTGTCTGCACTTTCTGCATAATTTTAATACAATCAAACCGAGTTTACGATAATCTGCGCGTCCCCTGCCATCTGTGACAAACACCAGCGAATAAAACGGGAATGGTGCCCCCCTCTAGCTGCGTGGTCCCGAGCCGAATCCTTCAACACGAACCTGCCTCACAATGCTCCCCTCTCCACGCCGCATGCATACACCACTTGTTCTGTGCCTAGTATTGCGTGATACAGCCGCGTAAAAAAAAAATAAACAAGTTAAAAAAAAGCTCAAAGGCGAACCCCGCTTCCCCGGATTGGGGTCCCTCGGGTCTCCCACCCGTGTCACCTGCCCTGGCCTCGTATCACCCGCATATCAAAAACGGGCGGGACGGGCGGCTGACGTTGCACCCTCGGGCGCCGCGGCGCGCCACCCAGTGTGTGTGGTCACATCAAATAGCATGCAGCGCGTCTTCAACTCTCCAGCTGAAGCCAAGCTCGCTCTGTGTACACCAATGTACATTAAAAATCAGGATGCCGGAGCCACAGCCAGGGCGCTATTGGGAGATGCTACGCTGATGTCGGCAACCCTCCTGGCATCATTTGGTGTCAATTTTCTTTCTCCTGTTTCCTCAGCAGATCCCGGCGCAACGTCACAGCCCATCATCCTATTCAGCCAACATAGGTCATGCAGGGGTCACATGTTAGCCCCCCGAGATCGGAACCTCTTATATCTTACGACTTTAATAATCCTAGAATACGACGAGATCCGGCGGCTCGCCGAAAGAGCGAGCATCGTGACACAAAAACAGGCGTCGACCGAGGAAACCGGCGAGGTCAGCTTTCCCAATCCAGCAACTGCTCCATCACATCCACATTCGTAATCTCTCCAATCCTGCATAATATCACTTTCTCGGTGGGGATCTCGTGCATGTGTTGCATCTGCTCACATGGAGCACATTTGCCCATCTATTATTCTCATGCCTAGGTATGTATGGTGCCATAGCTGATACTGCTGTTTCTATGACAAGCGGGGACAAATCCGCCCGTCCAGCTGCTGCTGTCTTCGCTCTCTCCAAGTGATGATGCTTGAGTATCCACTGCCGCAATCCTTTTTCCTGTATCTCCAAGCGGTCGAAAAAAAAGGGCCAAATCAAAGGCGCATCGTACCGTGGAAGCAAAGGCTGGGGTATAGGTCTATGCGTAAATCAAAGAAACATCTTGTAGTACAGATCCTCGTACCTCATCATCTGCCATGCGTCAGAATGAAATCAGAATATGAGGGGTATATGGGTGGGGTAGGTAAGGTGATGAAGGGGTAGATGTCGAAATAAGGGGTTGGGCTCGTGCTAGATTCGGCATCAAAGGGAAATCTGTAATATGGATTCGGGTGAGAAAGAAAAAAGAATGATGGGCTTCATGTTGATGTCGTGGGCTCGTGACGTAAAGGCGTGTCGGTGCGGCGACAAGAACGCAAAGAGATATTCCAAATGAGAAAAGGAGAGTCAAGAAAAGAGATCATCGGCTTGAAATGCCGCTGGAGAAGTTGTCGCAGTCGTCCATTCTCGTATTGAACCCGATGGGGCTGCTTATGCCGCTGGGAGTGGCGCTGGAGGCAACATAGCTCTGGTCGATGCGGAAGATCCAGTCGAGCTTCTCGCGCTCGTTGCGTGCCGCAAACAGCCACGTGTTGTCAGTCCCGTAAATGGCAAACACACCGGCTTGCAGGCGATCGCTGAGCGCGGCAAGGCCCGTGCCACGACGCCCTGCCGGCCTGGTAGCCGCTACGCCGCTCCAGAGTGATGAGATGGTGCTGCGACTAGAGGCTTGTCTCCTGTGTCCCTGCCTTGGATCACCGCCGTTGCCGTTCTGGCGCACATCTCCAGGCGATTCCGACCCTGGCTCCTGTCCGTCTTCGCTTGGCGCGGGCTCGGGGTCGTGGCCATGGCCTCCAGCTTCCAGCAGCGGCAGGATACCTGGCTGGCTGTCCACGCGGCTGTTGCGGAGGCTGACAATAGAAACCTCCTCGCCATCCGAGACGCTGTGGATGTGCAAGTAGGGCCGACGAAGCTCCACAAAGCGCTTAATCCAGCGCGTGCAGTCGCTGCTCGGCACTAGCAGATAGCCACCCTTCATGACCTTGGGGTTTTTTGTGGCGCGCACCACCGTCGCAATCAGACGGGGCGCCTCTTCTGGCTCCGGCGCAATGCCGTTCTCGGGCGGGCTTGTGTTCGCGGGACCGAGAATCTGCAATAGAGGATCCGGATGGCTCTTCCATAGCTTCAGGCACTTCTCGAGCAACGCCGACTCCTGCTCGCCGTACTCAGCAGCCTCCCTTTGCATGCCCGAGACTATCAGCGTAGATTCATCGGCTTCGGGCTCCGCTTCGCCGTCATCGGCAACAGACGGAGCTGTGGATACGTCGGGAATATCCGAGAGAAGCTCGTCGATAGAGTCGAGGTCGTCAGGCCGTGGACCCCTTGATGGCGCTATGTCGGCAAGGATATCATCCTCATCGGCCGACCTGACCTTGGGCTCGGGCAAGCCGATCTTTCGGATGAAGTTCTGGATGCCGCCAACCTCGGCAATTCGCCTCCTCCTCCGTTTGGCGCCAATGAAATCACTGACAAGTGAGACGCCACGAGGAGCCCAGGAGCTGAGGTTTTCCTCGCCTTTGACGTAATCGTGTTGGCTGTTGAGACGCCAGATGTCACCCACCCGCTTGATGGGCGCAGGGCGTAGCGAGAGGGTAAAGATGCCGGTTGAGGATTTGACAATCCTGACATTTTGCCACAGTGATGAGAGCAGCGACGTCTGCCTGACAAAGTTCCGCGACATGATTTGGCAGAAGACATTCAGGGAGAACTTCATGGGCTCTGCCATCTTCTCGGAGCTGATATCGAAAGAGACCGTCATCTGCACCTTGTACTTCTCGGCCGTGACACGGTCGAGGAGAAGGGAACCGTGGAGGCTCGAGTCCCACTGCCCGATCAGGGTCACGCTACGGGTTCCATTAGCGTTGTCACGGAAGACGGGCTTGGTCGACAGCTTTAAAGATATGTCGGGAGACTCAGTGCCCATGTCGGGCGTCTTGCCGGTATGGTCGACCAGCTGGATCTTCCCAACTCGCAGGGACCGCACGTCGTCCCACGGAAGGGCGTCGCCGGAGCTGTGGTTGAGACTGATGGCGACCCGTCTCTGCAGACCCTGGTGGAGTTGGAATGCGCCTGAGTCGGTCTCGCTGGTCTGCATGACCTCGACCGGCACGTACTCTCCGTTCTCGTCAAGCTCCATGATCTGCACCCGCGCGAGGATGTCATGCTTCTCCTTGGTGTAAAACTGCGATTCTGCAATCCTGGCCGCCTTCTGTTTTCCTGGCGTGGCCTCTCGCATGTCGTCCCAGCTGAGAAGCTTGTCAAGATGCATGGTCGACACCTTGGCGAAGATGGCAACACGGAGGCACATGTCCTGGGGGCCAAATAGCGGGATGCTCATGCTGTGCACGCTCTCGAACCTGATGGGGCCCTCGTCAAAGTCGTTGATCATCTGCGTCGTTGTGATGCCGCCCTCCTCCGAGACTCCAGGGATGAACAGCTGGGCATGCACCTGGGCGCCCTCGCGCTCCGCAAAGCCAACCATCTCGTGCATGACCACGTTAAACTTGAGCGTGTTGGTCGGCGCCCGGGCGCTCGAGGGCTCCAGAGACAGCTTGATGATGCCTATGGCGTGCGACGTGTGCGGCGAGAGCACATCGAGAGTGAAGTCCTGGACCCGGCTCTCAAACACGGCCCGCAAGGGCACGTCGGTCTCTCCGATGAGCGTAAACTGAGGCATGCAGTTCTCCACGAACGGGTTGTCGAAGCTCAGGTGCTGCGAGTACTCGGGCTCGTCAAGGTACTGGTACATCTGCCGCATCTGCCGCACGCGGTCGAGCAGCTTGTTCAAACTCCACAGGCGAGCGGAGCCGTCCTTGTAGTCGATAACGCGGACGCCGATGCACGGCTTGGGTGCCTCCTCGAGAGCAATGTCGTCACCCTCACCAGGCAGCCCGCTCAGCACCATATCATACATCGAGCAGAGAGCGTGGCCGACGTCGACAACAGTGAACTGGAAAAACACATTCTCCTCAAGCTCGTGGCTCATGACCTGTGCCTCCTTGAGCGTCGACGCGTGCTGCAGGAGCGTCTCTGCCATATGCACGTATCTGCGATTTTTCCAATGCTTCACCACCTCCTTGGCCTGTTCAATCTCAACTTCGGAGAGTTTCGGGTTGGCTTTGGGTCGCTTCAGAGGGTCGAGTTTGTCCATCTTGGCCTCGAACTCTTTCCGTTGGACCTCGAGCTGCTTCTGCATGTCTGCCTTGAGCTGCACCAGCGCATCCTCCATTTTAGCCTTTTCCTGTCTGATCTCCTCGACCTCGACGTTGGCTGCTGAGGCGGTCTTGATCTGCTCCCGGTAGTCATCTTTTTGTTTCTCCAGCTGTGTTTGCATGTCCTCGCGCACCTCGCGTAGCTTGTCTTCCACCTCGCCCTGCTTAGGGGTTGAAGGCATCGTCAAAGCGGTGTCGAGAGAGAAGTTGTCGATTGTGCCTGTCGAGAGATATTTTTCCCGGATGGGATACGAGGCCATGGATTCCAAGTCTTCGTCCCCCTCGCGGCTGGTACCATTGACTCTCTCGGCTCTTGCTCGCTGGAGTTGCTCAAAGAGCACGTTGAGCTCTTCATCCGTGAGGTTTGTGAAGTTCTGGTCAGACCCAAGGATAGCACCCGCTGCTTCTCTGCGCGCAAACGACCAGTCAGAGTTGCCGTCGTTGCGCGAGAACGGCGAAGGCGAGTCTGGGCGACTATCGCCAAAATCAGAGCCAGCCTTGCTGACAGACCTGTCATGGCCGCCGGGCCTGGGCGAGGGCAGGGGGGAGATCTTGTCGAGGTTCGCCAACTGATTGGCGGTGATGGACTGCCGCAGCAGGCTCTGCTCCGCGCGCTCCGCCTTTGCTTCCATGGGATGGTTGAATCGGAAAATATGGAAGTCGCCGAGAATGATCCTGTATCCGGAGTGGAGCTGCTTGGGCTCCGTGATGCGCTTGCCATTAACCATGACCGCGGCGCCCTCTTTCGGAACCAGCGTGACGGTGCCGTCTGCCGCGTTCTCGAAAGTGCAGTGTTCGTGCAGAATCCCGGAGCCATTCAGGCGGATATTTGCCTGGTGCTCGGCGTTGGATTCGACGTTGCCGACCATCGTCGTTCCAGGCTTGAGGTTGTAGACCAGGCACTCGGCCAGGAGTGGGTCGTCTGACAGATTGACCAAGTGAGGCATCTTTTTGGGCGTGCTGAGCCCAATGAAGCCCTTCTCGATGCTGATACCCAGCTCCTCGAGTGCGGCCTCGCGCTCCTTGTGAATCTCCTCGGTCTTCTGCAGCTTTTCCTCCCACGTCTGGTTGAGGTCGGTCAAGAGCTTCTCGCTCTGGCTGAGCTGCTCCGCGATCTCAGCCTTGGAGACCTTCTTGACGGATCCATCGGACTGTGTAATGCTGACAATCTGCTGCTCCAGCGGCGTCCCTTCGGCATACACCTCCTCAGCAGGCACGCCAACGCCGCCGCCGCCACCTCCTCCGCTGCTGCCGCCACCGAGCTTGTTCTTGAGCATGGCCAATTCCTCCTTGAGCTCTCTTATCATGCGGGCGTTGGCGTCTTCGTTTACGACGGCGTGGTTCTTGATGCGCTTCGCAGAGTCCGCATAACGCAGCGTGCTCAGCGTCTCGTCAAAGTTGATGTCGGCCGGACTGATGGCAGCAATCATGGCAGTCATGCTGTTTCCTCCGAGCGAGTCCTTCAAGAGCCAGGTCAGAACACTGTCTCGGTATGGAACAGTGCCGCCAGGACCCTTCTTCTTCTTTCCGGTTGAGAGGTCGGCGAGGGCGGCGATGACACGGCCCAACGTTGACAGAGACCGGTTGATCTCGGCACCTTCCTTGAGACGTGCGCCGGTAGCTCCGGTGGAGGTGGCGCGCTCCGAGCCTGCCAGATCCACCAGACTGATCTTGGCCGCCTTTTCCATCTCCATCTTGGTGTCGACATCGAATTTCTTCTGGGTGACCATCAAGGTAAAAACAGCGTGACTTCGACTCGACGTTTCGTTCATGTTGGTGGCCGCCACCGTTCTCGCCTTGTTGCCCTCGTCCATGAGGTTCTCGATCTCCTGGAAGCTGCCGACAACCAGCTTCGCAAGATCTTCGACGTAAGGACCGGTCGAGGGGTGTTCGCGGACCTTGAGGTTTCCCTTGGTGCTTGGGTTCAGCAGATCGCGCACTCGCTCGTTGTAGATCTCGAGATATGACACCTCGACGGTGCACTTCAGGTTTGGGTCCTTCTGCATGTCGCCTATCCTCTTGAACATGTCCTGACAAATCATAGGGATGATACCGATCTCCTTGCCGTATCCCATCATGGAGTACGACTTTCCAGAACCGGTCTGTCCATAGGCAAAAATACAGTTGTTGTATCCCTGGAAGGCGTTATCGAGAAGGGGCTTCCCCAGATCGTCGAACAAGTTGGACTGGCCGGCGTAGTTTGGTGCGCTTTTGTCGAAGGACCAGTACGACCTGTCAAAGGCGAAGGCCTTCGGGGCCAGGTCCTTGGCGCCTTTGCCCGAGTCCGACGACGGCGTGATCACCGTCTGGTTGTCCTTCATTTCGACGATACATTTTGCGCCGCGGTCCATTTCTGCCACGGCCAGCCCCTGGTGTCAGTTCTGCCGTCGCATCCCGTCGCGCAAGCCAGCCATCCGCAACAACCCTCCCTCCCGCACTGTATCCCACTCCTTCGGGGCCAAGACTCACCTCGCCCGTTGAAGGGCCGGCAACGGACCACGACCTTGATGTTTCCGCCAGCCATGTTGGCGGTCTTCTAGGAGACTTCGCCGGGCGGCGTGTTCGGGGGCCCTGGGCGTTGCGACACGATCTCCTCGGCCGGGGGCAGGCTTGGGAGATGGACAAAATGGGTGCGATCAATCAGCTCCGCGCGCTGGAGGAGCCGGTCTCGATGAAACCCCAGGTGTAATCCCAGCACGATGAACCGTCCGTCGGGCACGGGTCATTCTCTGGCGGAGGGCGGCGTGGTTGCGTCGGAGACGGGGCTCGTCGGAGAGGGAAACGTCCGGGTTCGTTGCGGCGACGGAGTCTGAGGATCTGATTTCGGGGCGGATTTCTCTATTGACGTTGGGTGGGGACCAATCTCCCAAAGGGCGATTTCAACGGAGAAAGGAGACGATTTGGCTCAGTCTGGCTCAGTTTGGTGCACAAGCTCTAAATCACAGTCGAGTCGCGTGCGAACCCCGGCTTCCTGCGGGAATCCGCACCCGACGAGGCTCTGCAGGCTGAGAGTCTTCTTTTCGGGCGATTCTTTGTCCAAGGCTTCCTTCGGCAGCAGCCTATCTACCGTGTCAACACCAGAAAACGCGGTCGCGCGGGATCCAACCCCCCTTTATTGGCTTGCAACATCCGCCTTCGTCATTTACAGCCGACGGAAATTAAGCTTCGTTCACGTGTCAATGATGACCCCCACCGGCACTGTACGGCGCGGACCATGATTTTCTGATTTTCAGATCGGCATTCTCCCACAGGCGGGTGGATGTACCAGAGAGTAACTTCGCCCCGGCGGGCAGCCACATATTGTGTCGCTAAAATCGCGCAGCGCCATGGAACAGCACCAGCGTCCCGGAAAGCAAAGCACACAGGGCCAGCTGGGGATGTATTGGACGGGAGAGGGGCTGCACGAGGGTCAGGACGCAAATAACGGACGATATATACATGAGACCTGCAGACCTCGAGAACTCGACGATATCCCCTCTATCGGCCAGGAGAAAGTTACTTACAGGTACGGAAGCCAGCTGCCAGGGATCCGCGGGAGTGCTTTCACCCTCCCGAGAGAGCGGGACAGCCGTCAAGCCGCACCGTGCGTCGTGGCAGCTCCCGCTGTGCATATTACCAAAGCGAGGCGAGCGTAGGAACAACGATGTTTTGCAGGCGCCAGGCAGGGCCCTATTTGCCCCGCATGAATTCTGCCCATCACGCCAGTTTTTTTTCAATTACCCCTCTAGGCGCACGGAGCGCCACATCACTAAAATCATTACAAGGCGCCAAAGAAGCGTTCCTACGAAAAAGAAACGGGAAAAGACAAAAGTGAACCCACCAAAATAGCCTCGCTTGTTCCTTAGGCAGTCCGAAGCGCGCACTTTCCGAACGGCCTGCCCTCCGCCAATCGGCCTAGCCACCATGGCGACCTCGTCGTCGTTACCCCAACCGGAAGTTCCGCCGGCCGGTCCCGCCCCTCCACCAGTTAGCGATGCGCCCGTCGCCAGCGCTCCCGCGCTTTCGGCCTCGACGCCCCCGAAGCCAATCCACAGCCTTGTTCTGGATACTGGCCCCTTGATCAAAGGCGATCCAGCCATAAGCACACTCATCGCGCAGGCAGAAGAGCTGTATACCATCCCCGCCGTTCTCGACGAGATCAAGGACGAGCAGACGCGATCACGCATCAACACGACCCTCTTGCCCTTTCTCAAGCTCCGTAGCCCTAGGCCCGGCAGTATCAAGTTTGTGTCCGACTTTGCTCGCCGGACTGGGGATCTCGAGGTTCTCAGCCGTCCAGATATCCACTTGATCGCCCTGACCTACGAGCTTGAGATCGAGAGGAACGGGGGAGACTGGAGGTTAAGAAACGAGCCCAATCAGAAAAGGGTTAACGGTAGTCCTCCAAAGAGGGATGAAGCGATTGCGGATGTCATACCTTCCGAGGCAGAGGCACCAGCAGCAGCTCTGCCAGAGGTCACGTCGGAAGAGCCAGGAGAGGCCGAGCAGGGGGATGCGACAGGCGATGTGACAGTGGATGCAGCGCGGGAAGAGCACAGCGCTGTTCTGGTCGAGCCCGGCGAGGCGCCCAAGAGTTCGTCAGAGCCCGTTACCGAAGAGCTCCAGGACCCCGAGTCAGAAGCGGACCAGCAGGGTGAAGAGGCCAAGGGCGAAACCCTGACGGAAGAAGAAGAGCAGATATCAGACGATGGCGACGGCGAGTGGATCACACCATCCAACATCAAGAAGCACCAAGCCAAGGACAACCGCACACCCGTGCCGCAGCCGATCCAGAGGGTACTCCAGGCCTGCATCTTGACGTCCGACTTTGCCATGCAGAACGTGGCGATGCGCATCAACCTGAACGTGGTCTCGCCGACGCTCGCGCGCATCACGCAGCTCAAGAGCTGGGTCCTGCGCTGCCACGGCTGCTTCGCCGTGACGCGCAAGATGGACAAGCAGTTCTGCCCCTCGTGCGGCCAGGCGACGCTGACGCGCGTGAGCTCCTCGACCGACTCGTCCGGGAACTTCAAGGTGCACCTGAAGCGCAACTTCCAGTGGAACAACCGCGGCAACGTCTTCAGCATCCCCAAGCCCGTGCACGGCAACGCGAACGGCAAGAAGTCGGCGGGGGCGGCGGCCCAAGGCGGCGGCAAGAACGGCTGGGGCCGTGACCTGATCCTCGCCGAGGACCAAAAGGAGTACCAGCGAAAGGCCGATGAGGACCGCCGCGCGCGCGTCCGCGACCTCATGGACGAGGACTACCTCCCCGGCATCCTCACCGGCGACCGGGTCGGCGGAAACGGAAAGATCAAGGTCGGGGCCGGGCGTAACGTGAACGGAAAGAAGCGGAGATGATTTCAGATACCATGATATTTTCTTCTGTCGGGTGCCTTACCACGCATGATATGATACCAAGAAACAACGCAGGATAGACAAAAATTGGAGTCCCGTAACCACACAGTGAATGGCAGGGACCTTTATCTACCATGAAAAAGCCAGGAAATCATTTTTTGTTCCAACGCCTGCCACAATGCAAATATCAAAGTCAATATCACATCAACGCCCCGGTTCTGGGCGGGTGGAGCCCTGCGCGCCGGGTCAACTCGCGTTTGTATCCTCCCATGCCTGTCCAGGCGCTGTGACGAGCCGGGCGCCATGGTGGTATGGAAGGCGAAGGAAAAGCCGTCCAGCATGCAAGGCCACCATAGCCGCAGGAACAGTAAACGCCCCCAAAACTCCTCGAATCGGCATGCGACCGTCGAGAGCCGGTCACGAAACGACGCGGCCATTCCGGCGCGCGTGTGGGTAGATACCCAGGGATCAAGCACTCTATGATGACTGGAGAGCCTTGAGGTCCTCTGCAGAACAGGAGCCAAAGATGGCAAACGGTCAGCTGGGTCTATTCTTTTCCGTCGCCAACACAAACATCTCAGTGGATTATTGGCGCGTCGCCAGCCGCAACTCGCCGTCACAAAGTCCCTCTGGAGACCCAGGCAATTGGAAGCAACAATGGACTCACTCTTCTCGGCAGTCAGCAGGCCGAAGCGCTTCTTAAGCGTGATGCGGTGGCTTGACCACTTGTCGTCGGGCGAGAAGCGGGCCGGGTGCGCCGACTTGGTCACCTTGCCCTCCAGCACCTTCTTGAGGGTGTAGGCGCGCTTGCCCGAGGCGTCGACGTTGCACATGAGATGCATTCTGAGCGAAGTGTTCGGTTTTCGTTTGGGGGAGTTGGACTAGATGGGGGCGGAGGGCCGGTGCGGTTTGGTTTGGTCGATTGCGGTTCGCGTGGTTTCGGTCGTCGAGATCCAAAGCAGTCGAAGCAATCCAGCCAAGCGCGGCGATTGAAGCTCGAGAAAATTTCTGGAGGCCGGGAAACTGCCGTTAGGTACCGCCTTCGGCTTCTCCCTCCGCTGTGCTGTGAGTGCCGCCCCACCTAACCAGAGCGTCAACGTTGGACATTTATATGGGGCACATGTTACATCTGTCCCTCATCTACGCAAGCACGCACGCAAGTCACCATCCCGCGTTTCCAACAATTTTTTTGACATGGATTTCGTGCCCTGACTGTTCTACTGCTATCTAACAGTCTGCTCAGCGGTTTGGCAACTCCACACATCCACAGTAAACCGCACTCCTCGGATGCCCTACACAACCTCACGGTCGACACCCCGTCCCGAGAGAGTGCTTACGCGGGCTCGCCCTAGGTGAAGGCAATGTATGAAGCCGCGGCCATGTAAAGCTTAGTGTCGTACCAGCTGTCAATGTGTCAGGTCATGCCGTCCTTGGACACCGAGTTGGCACTGAGCTTCAGCCGCAGGTTTTTGCCGCAGTCGATGTCCAGGCTGTTCAGCGCGATCAGCACCTTGGGGGTGTCCCGGAACGCGCCGGCCGGGAAGCTCGCCTTGCCGGCGTTCTCCAGCTGCGGCTTGTCCCAAGGACGGACGTCCTCGGTGCTGTAGCTACCGCTGGCCACGCCGGCCTTGTCGGCCAGGCGATCCAAGCCGCCTTGGCCGCGTAGAGCGTCGTGTTGGACCAGGTGTCGAGGTGGAGGGTGAAGCCCTTGGCGTCGACGCCGGTGGCCGTCGCCTTGACGCGCCAGTTCTTGTCGTGCGCCATGTCGAGCTGGTTGAGCCAGACGACCACCTTGGGCGGCGCGTGGTAGGGCCGCTCAAAGTTGATGCGCCGCGACGTGTTGGGCTGCGGCTTGTCCCATGTGTGGTCGTCCTGGGTGCTGAACTCGCCGACCTGGAAGTCCGGGTCGCGCGACTGCGACGCCGTAAACCACGTGCAGCCGGCCGAGTACAGCGTTGTGTCGTGCCAGGTGTCGATGTGCACGTCGGCCGACGCCTTGCTGAGCTTGCCGGCGTAGGCGTGGACGCGGATGTTGGTCGCGTTGGCGACGTCGAGCCAGTTGAGGCCCACGGCCAGCTTGGGCGGGGTGTCGAGCTCCTGGGAGAAGATCTGCCGCTTGGAGGCTGTCTTGGCCGGCTCGTCCCAAGCACGCACCTCCATGGTGATTAATGCGGAGAGGCCCCGCGCCTCGGTCGGGTAGGCGTTCGCGATGAAGGACTTGTCCGTCTCGGACGGGTGGTCGTTCGCTGCCGTCGAGTAGCCGTTGGTGGTCATGGAAGACGGGATGGCGTATACCATGATGGAGCTCGGGTCAAAGGCTGAGAACTGCGTCGTGGTCGAGGCGTAGTGGTCGAAGAGGTTGGTGTCGACCTCATCCTTGGTCCAGTTCTGCGTCGACTGATAATACTCATACGTGAACTTCTTATTCCAGAGGATAGGGGTCGCTGGCGACTGGTGCTCATGGATGCAGCCCAGCGCATGGCCGAACTCGTGGGTAATGACACGCGAGAACTCGCGCTCGGGCGTTGAATCCTTCAGCCAGCCGAAGTTCATCGTGGGCTGGTCGGCCGGGACGGACAGGCAGTCTGTGCCCAGCTTCGACCAGGACGAGCCGCTCGAGTCGATGTTGACGCGAATGTCGGTGTCGCCCGGGTCGACAAAGTCGAACTTAATGTTGGCACCTTGCTCTGAATCTTCTCGGACCCGTTGAGGATCTTGACCCGCAGCGTGCGGCCCGTCCTCCACATGCGGCCGACCGGGAGGGCGAGGCCCATCTTCCCGACACCCGGGATCAAGTTCCCTGACGTGATCTGGGTGCCATTGCGGGGATTCTCCCGGACCGCGAGCATGTCCGCCTGCGCTCGGAGATTGGCGGAACGGGCACCTCGGTGCAGATCTGAGGGAAGGCCATGATGAAGGTATGTGGGATCTGACCCAGGTGTGGAACAAACAAAGTGATGAGTGGGTCGGTGGTCTGCGCTTGCGATGAGGGATGGGGAGAATGGATCATGAGAGCATAAGGAAGGAGAAAATCGAGTCGGGGGACGGCCTTGATATATCCCTAAGAAGCCCTAGAGCCCCTTACTCTTGATTCCACGATGCCTCATCTTGGAGAGAGCTGCGATGTCCGGAGGCGCCTCGTGAAGCAATACTCCGTCGACCGGAGTCTAGACCCAGGCAAGAGAGGGGGCAGAATCGCTATCTGACCGGCCTGCCTACAGGGGGCGCAGGTCGAGGCCATCATGGACTCATGGAGAGAGCCGGCGAGGCGACGGGATGCAGGAGACGGTATCCCGGGTGTCTCCCGGCCTTGCCATAGCTGGTGCCCGCTCTCGAGCGGCATGCACGACGCCGGCTGAACATGCACTCAAAGAGAGTGGCTGCAACTTGCTAGTAAACTAAGAGTTCAGCTGTTTTGATGCCACCGAGGCGCTCCGACGAGCTAGAGGCTAGCGAATTGGGCGCTAGTGTGGGAGATGAGGTGGATGATTGGTATTCATCGATTACTTTCAACAAACGCGAGGTGTATAGGTGGCGTTCCATTGCGTCGGCCAGGCTGTCGGGCTGTTGCGCGCTTACATCTGGCAAGGAAAGGCGGGTCGGCATGGACGGCTGTGAAGCGGGGAGGTTGCATCCTCTAGGTACCTACCTAGGTATACTAGTCTGATATTCTCTCAAGCAATCCCACCTAACCTGAACCACAAGTGACTTGGATCGAGGCACCTGGCCACGACAGCCTAGCTGCTGTGGTCGACGGGTCGGGGCGGTGAGGACGGCCTCGAGGGTTCAGGCGGTCGTGGGCGCCAGCACCAGCAAGGACCGCTTCCTACGGATCAGGACTTCAAGGCCCATATCGAGAGTGTGGTTTACGGCGGGAAAGATGGCGAGATGCGATTCAATGAGAGCAGGCAGGGGCTGGGCGTGACGCTAACGGTAGAGTTCCAGGGCGAGAGGCCTGGATTGATGGTGTCGTCGGTCGTTGATATGGTGTCCAGGTTACAGCTTTAACATGGAGCGCTCCCCGCTTGAATGCTCACTAGCGCTGGCTTCATTGGAGGTGATTGATAAACCAGGTATGTCGTGAGACTGAATCTTCTAGGTCGCGTTTTACGTTCGTGTAGAGGGCTCAGCAGCAGGAGCGAGATCAGTTGTTCTTTCTCCCTTCCGCTCTCCCAAGCCTGATCATCAGCTAGTACATGAAGGCGCTCGACTACAGCAATCTGGTATCGGTCCAGTTCCCAACAAATGATATTATGTGATGGCGCATCACGAAAATGCAGCAAAAAGGAGCGTCCTAGGAAACACTAGCTCATACTAGATGAAGCCTCATATCGATGTCTATACTCGCCTAGATATCTTCCCTCAGCGCCCGACCTTGATCTTTGAATGGCTGTGGATAGAATTAACTCGAGCAAATAGTAAAGTTCGCTGCCCCTGAGCGCACTGCCTACGGAGAAGCTTTGCCGGTGATCCAGTCTGGGTCTAGACGCAGTCGTGACTCTCGCCTGTGCGTATGTGTTCGCTCCGAGGGTTTGACTTTGTGTCGACAACGGGCACAGGACCGACTCCCACGGCTCTCGGTCTTGAAACTGCAGCAATCGCCCCCGCTCATACGATCCTGGCTCTGGAAACATTGAACTTGGGGAACTCCTGCTTGCCAGGGCCAGGGTTGAAGAGACGTCTCTTCACCACGGCCCCCGAGACGGCGCCTTTGGTCTCGACGTCAGCCGACGAATGGGCAAAGAGGTTCTTCGCCCAACCCACCCAGCGCTTGTAAGTACCGTAGGTAGAGTAGTTGCTTGGGTACGAGCCGTATGTCGAGTATGTGCTGGGGTATGTGCCGTAGGTTGTGTAAGATGTCGGGTAGTTGCTGTACGTTCCATAGGACCCGTAGTTGCCGTAGTTGCCATTGGTGTTGTTGCTGCCATTGTTGGAGTAGGTGCCGCTTTTGCCGTTTCTGCCGCCGCCTCCGCCGGGGGTGCGTGCGACGACGTCGAAAGAACGAATAGGGGCAGCCACGGCGGGCAGGGCGAGCCCAGCGACGAGGATCGTGGCAATAGGAACCTTCATCTTGAGAACGATGTGGGGAGCCTGGGATATGAACTGTGACTGGGTTTTGGTGATCTTGCTTGGTACTGAGACGCAGGACAATGAAGGTGTGCGTGAGAAGTGTCAAGGCTAGGATATGTGCGGCGGCATGCCCCTTTATATATAGGTTGGCACCCATCGATTCGTTTCCTGTGGGTGAAGCGTACACAGCTGCCATCAACGCCAAGATCCAAAGCCATGGTGCTCGTCTTTCGGGTACTGGGTTTGGAGCCCACCATCGCCCCCCGGCACCCAGATTAGAGAGCTATCGTCGGCACGCAATGACATGAAATGAGGTTCTGTTCCGTCAAGCCACCGGGCTAGCGCGTGAGCGGCCCGAGGGGCTTGAAGCGTATCTAAGATCCATCGGGATAGCCAGTATACTCGGGAGACGGCTTACTGCCCATTTGGCATCAACTCGGTCTTGGCGAGGTTTTGGCGGCGGCTCAGGCAGATTCTGCAAGAGACGGGCGCTATCTAGCAGGCATCGTCATGGCTGTGCGGAACTAGTTCAAAGCATAACCCCTAGCCCTAGCGGGGAGGTATCAGCACCTCCTTTCCCATATCCAGCCTTATGCCCGAGCTCAAACTAGCTTGGTAGAAAAGAGCTCGTAGGGTATCCATTGTCAGCGCCGTGTGATCGGGTCTGGGCGGCGCATAGGCCGCCTTTTTTTTAGCTGTCAAGATTCTGGTGCCTTCACTGATCAGCCGCCAGCTCGGACGTGGCTGGACGTGGGCACTTCCAGACGCAATCCCGCGCCTGCCCAACTGGAGGAATCCTAAAAAAGAAGTCGCCATGAGGGGTTCGGCGCGAGCACTTGGGCGACGCCTCCCTTCGAGGCAAGCGCAAACGAAGGTCGGAGCATGTTGGCTCGCTGACATCACCCAGATAGCGACTTTTGTCTGCCGGAAGCCCGCCTCTATTCTACTCCCCCGTATCTCCCATTTCACTTCTCTAGTCTGGAGAGAGTCTCAATCCACCATCCCCGGAAGGACACTTCAACCAAGCGAGAAAATGGCCGACGCCCACAAGAGCGCCGAATACTCCCCTCTGGTAGCGACAGATGACCAGAGTGAATCCCACGATGATGTCGAGCTCGCTAAACCATGCATATTTGCGGCCTTCAGGAACCGCCTTCTCATCGTCAGCATTGCCTCACTCTTCATCGTGTCGAACATCATGTGCTGCCTCCTAGGCGCATACTTCGGTCGATCTACAAGCCCAGCCGTTGACCTTGATTCGGAGTGCTCCTTCCACACATCCAAATACTGTGAGTCTCTCCGGCATCTACAGAGATTGAGCTGTAGTACATGCAGCTGCCCCAAAGCCCGCACTGCTAAGTTGGCCGTCGACTCCACCCAGCTCCGATTCTGGGCGAGGTCGGTATCAAGTATACAGACGTCAGCTTCAACGGCTCCTTCATGCGACAAAACATATACAGGCGCCCCGCATCACCCGAGGTCGACGCCGCGTGGGAAGCCCTTGGAGCAGACTGTAAGGACCTGTGTGATTTGTTGCAGCTCGCCGTGCTCCTCGCGTGCTAAAAAAAAAAACTCCCAGATCGACCAGGCATCGTTTCCAAAGAGCAGGGAGCTGCTGCTGGACTCGGTTCTCGTCACGTCCAGCGATCCGACAAGTTTGGAGGCGGCTTTTTCGTAAATGTCGAGGGCTTGCATCATCTCCATTGTCTGGTATGTCACGGAAACCGGCAACCCTGATTCTCCCCAAGTTTATGGGGCCACTATGCATCTAACCTCCCCTAAGAATCTTGTCAGAAAAGGGCTGTACTACAATTTGCAGTACTACAAGAATCTCGGCACTCACGCTTTCCTAAATGACGAGCGCATCCTAGAGCTGCATATTAGTACTTTGCAGTCGCCCCTGATCTGAGCTGTCGTGATCTGCTGACACATCGGTCAGGTCACTGCCTAGATACCGTTCGCCAAGCTCTGATGTGTAATGTCGATACTGGCCTCCTAGGTGCGCTTACCTAGCCTGATGCTCAATAGACATGATACTAACTGCGTTGCAGGCCAGGTTTGGTACAACCCAAGGAACGTGACGCCATTCCCCGACTTCAACACCAGGCACAAATGTAAAAACTTTGATGCTATCAGGGAGTGGGCCAAGGGAATCCAGGTGAGTAAAGGAGTTGTTTCGGTAGGTAGGTAGCTTGCATACAGCCGTACTGATGATGTGGACACACGCAGGCGCCTTCTCAAAATGAGCTCCCGCGAGGTTATCTGAGAATGCCGGACCCCCATCATATACTGCCGACCACCCCTTGATTTCAGGGGGTACGAATTACGTCCATCAAAAGCTGTTTCGTGTTTACCAGCCTCTTTTGGTGGCTAGGGTATCGCAAATTACTCAACTTGTCTTCACCAGCCCCATGTGTACATTTCCGCCTTAATATCATCCACCCTCAGCACCCGCAGCTCCGTCTTCACTCCCCAGAGCAACTCCGGACTTGGATTTGTGTGATACATTCATCATGGTATCGGATTAATTGGCCGAGCTAGAGTTTGCGAGTCCCATGTTTGGTCATGCGAGATTTAGCTCTACACTCAGCCAGTTCGCTTTGCGAATAAGCAACCATCCCCATTGAGAAAACTATCGAGAGCCACCCTGAGGCCCTGCGGCCCATCCCAGCACCACCGTCTTCTCCATTATGCCTTCTTAACGATAGGCACGCCCTCGCAGTCACCGTCCCAGGGCTCATCCCGGTTGCAGTTCATGAACTGGATCCATTTATCCAAGGACGAGAACCACGGGCTAGTGCAGGGCATGGACTCGGGGTAATAGCCGTGTTCGTCGGCAGCCGGCAGCCGGCACTGTCAAAGACGAGGCGCCCGGTCAGATTGCGTCTGAAGGATCGTAACAGTGAACCCGCGTAGAGCGGAGCAGGCAGGAATCGGCAGGGAGAGATTGGGAGGGAACATGAGGATGCAAGCCAAAAAAAAAAAAAAAAAGAAGGCGGGAGTGTCAACTTACGCAGCCCACGGCGTTGTCGTAACTGTAAGTGCAGCAAGCGAAGCCGTTCCACAACTTGACGAGGGCATCCCACTTCGGGCACTCGTCGGCGGCCTTGGTCTCTGCGATGGGCGAGCCGGCGGCCAGGCCGGCGGCGAGGGTGACGATGAGGCCAAAGAAGCGCATTTTGAGCGAGAAAGAACTTGATCCTTGTGTAAAGAGAGAGAGAGAGAGAGAGCCCTTGGGGGATCTTGGCCTGAGCCGGGATGAAGGGGATGGTGAGAAGGATGATGGTGTGGAGGCAAGGCGGCCGGCCCCAACTTTATACAGACGACGGGCGGACTGCTACTCCTCCTCCTTCCCTCCCACGTATTACTATAGCAGTCGATCCGACTAGACATCTGGACCGATCCGAGATCCGGCCTCCCCTCGGGGATGCGCGCGCGGGACGGGAAAGGGTCTTTTCTGGAAACACGGGTTTGCCATGCCGAGGAAACGCCCCTAACCCCTCAAGAGAGGTGCTACAGCTCACGCGAGGTTGCCGTCGTGGGTGGGGCCGGCTGCCACCTCGACGTGTTGAGCCGGCGGGCATCGAGCCAATGCCCGTAGATGTTTGTTTTCGGACGCGGAGGTCGAAGGAGCGGGAAGCCCGAATCGGGCGCGACCCCGCCGCTGTTGGTTCGTTCCCGTTGGGCCAAACCGTTGATGGCCTCGGATGCGTCGCTTTTGCTAGGCCACAGCGCATATACGCCGGCGGCAGGGTGGGTGGCCAACTGGCTGCTATCAACTATGCAAATCTGTCTACCATGGCTACCTCAGTTGTCGTCATGCTTACTAGAGCGGAGGCTGGCCATGCAGCACGAGGGTGGTGGTACCTATGGCGAGCGCGTATAGATACGCTCGACGATGGCATGTTACCGTATCATCACTGTTGACAAATTTCCGAGCCACAACCATGGTTTTCACGCGCCCACGGCAGCGCTTCTTTGGCTACGCGCAACCAGCGACCAAGCCATACCCAGCCCGTTGGAGTTGTCGACGCCTGGCATTAGCCCTATTTTCTGATTCACGTGAGGCCCTCTCGCGGTCTTCACAGCGGGCATAAAATGTGGGCACATCGAACGGAATGATGCCCGTGATGGACGCGTGCGTTCGCCGCGGTAGACCCGCTCTCATGGGGAATACAAAGTTCAGCCTCCCAAGTAGGTCCAGCTCATGTCGTGGGCTGGCACTTTGAGTCGTGTCAGTTTGCCCAGGACGTGTTGTTGTTGCTGCTATGACGAAAACCCGGGCTGGAATGCGGGATTACGTGAACGGGCAAGACATACGCCCGCCAATGTTGGAAGTTGGAATCCTAGGAGGCGCGCGAAGAAGCCCTGTGCCGCGTGCGTGGAGCCGCAAACCCGGGCAGCACTGCCACTTGCGACGTTCAAACCTGGCAGCTGCATTCGGGTATTGGACTTATACGAAGGAGCCCAGGCTGGCCCCCTGAAGGCACGAAATGGCACGTTCCTGCATACTGTAGTCTCCCGAATACTGTGGCCGTCTCCCGAAAGATACCTTAACAGGGACTGCTGAATGCCTTGAACCGGAAGTTGGTAGGTGTGCCCTTTTTTTTTTTTTTTTTTTTTTTCTTGGCGGGGGATCGAGATGAGGGTGGCGAAGCATCCCCTATCAACGAACAAAAAAAGCTCCCCACTGGGTGACGCGCCGCGCTCGCTTGTCTATTCCTGTCGGGAAAACAATGGAGGCTGCCGTCGCCGCCGCCGCCGAGTTGGCCACAAAGAGTCCTTTGACAATAGGGTACCTGGTCGAAAAAAAAAAAAAACTTTCTTTTCTTTTGAGTCATCGTCCATGCTTGCCAAGGAGCGAAAAGCTGCGAAGGAGAAAAAAAAAACCCTCGCAGTTTGCTGGCAGAACAGCAGGCAAGTGGAAGAGACTGCGTCCAGACTCCGTTTGTGGAGACGGCACCACGCCGCGGGTGGCATCCCCGGCGGCCCGTTTGGCGACGAAGGGGACTGCACAGCCCCGACTCGCCGTCCTGTGCCGGTAGGCGGCATCTGGTTTTTTCGTTACTGTTTCCCGAGCTTGCTCGATACTGTGTTGGACAATTGACCCGTGCGCGCCCATGGGACCCATACCAGGCGCCCGCACCCACACCTCAGGGTGCAGAGGAGAAAAGCTGGCGTGTCCGTTCGCGTGGCATCGACGAGGCTCTGGATGTGGAAATTACCCAGAGGTGGTCACGGTTAGGCCTTTTGGAAGCCCCGAGGGCGGCTAGCGAGGTCAGAGGTTGCCACTATTAGTTCAACATCAACCTGAACTTCATACGCGATGGCGACAAGAACCGACAGAAAAAGGAAACAAAAGCTGAAAGTGGATTCTGCCTTGGTCCAGAGCCCGCCGATCCCCAGCGCATGAACAAAAAACCAGCCAAGCTTTTTGTTTTGCAAAGCGGACGAAAGTCCCCACAGACTACCACACTGGTTGAGCGAAATACGGATTGGCAGGCACGCAGGAAAAACCTAATCGACGAGCGACTCGAGATTGGCAAGATGGATCGGCAAGAATCTGTGGGATGAAGAAAAAAGTGGCCATCTTGGCGGACGTGTCTTGGTGATCCAGTCCAGGACTCTTGGAATTGGGGATCAACTGCCACCGCTGCTGTTTTGGTACTGTGACATTTCGGTGCTATTTTACTTGCACGACAACAGAATCATCTAGTGTTTTTGGCCGAAGTGATCTGCCTGATGTCAACGGAGTCATGTTGGTCGTGTTGGAGGGAGTTGGTAAATCAAGGGGTCCCGGATACAACAGACAATCAGTGGTGAAATGGTTCAATTGACTTCTTATTGCAAAGCGAAGACAAACATTACATTGCTGTGGATGGACCAAGGCCTAGGCACGGATCAGAGGGTTCCAACACTCAACCACGCGAGCCCTTCTTGGAGCTTAAAACTTGGGTATTGCGAAGATATCAAGTCCAAGTTCCTTACAAGGATCAGAAATACAACCAGAAGCCTAAAATCAAAACCAGCGCCGCCATTCATATCTCGCGAAAATGTATAGCTTAAAATCAATGACAAAAGAAACGAGTGGACAGTTGTCAAGATCGCCTATCGGACACACCGCCCAGCTGAGTGAGAGGCAAATGTGTCGTCGGGGTAGATGAAGTGTAAAAGGGGAATAGGTAATAAGATGTATCAATATGCTTAAATGTCAGATGGAAGCGACAAGATTTAGCTGTTGTAGCCAACCTTGACGTCCAGCTGGCACTTGCCGGGAGGGATGTTCAGGCCGATGCCGTCGAGGTCCTCCATGCCGCCAAGGTAGGCGTTGTCACCCCGACCACCGGGCCAGATGGTGGAGCAGGTGCCCTGGGAGCAGACCTGAAGGCCGTCCACCTGCATGCTGTACTTCTGGGGGACGAGCGAGGAGGCGTCGGCGCCCGACCAGCCCTTGTTGGAGGTGTTCTCGAAGTCGAACTCGAGCCATGTGCCGGCGAATTGACCGAACGTGGTCTTGCGCAGCGACTTGCCGGAGTTGCAGACGCAACCACCCTGGGTGTTGGAGTCGTAGGCGACGTACTGGGTGTCGCCAGGGGCCATGGTCCACTTGACGCCCTCATGGAAGAAGCCATCAATCTTTCCGTCAGGGCCAATCTTATTGAAGCATGTGCAGGTCTGCTCGTCCTTGTCCACGTTGGTGAACTTTGAAGTGTACTGGTACTGGTCGGCCGTCTTGGAGTCGGCGACGAGCATGATGTTGCAGCCCCAGTTGCCCTTGGCACCAGTGTTGCCCGTGTAGGCGATTTGCTGCGCAGTGGCGCGCTTGATGAGGGCGGGAGCGCCGTTGCAGAAGGGCGCCTTGGTCGTTGCACCCTTGCCCTTGCCACCCTTGTTGTCATCGCCCTTCTTGCCATCAGATGGAGCGTCGGTCTTCTGGGCAGCAGGCGCAGAGGCGGTGCTGACGGCCGGGGTAGGAGAAGCCTTGGGCTTCTTGTCGCCATTGTTCTTCTTGTTGCTGCCCATCAGGAAAGGAGAGCTCTTGCCGTCATACGTGTTGGTCCACTGGACGACCTTGCCCATGACGGTGGCAGTGACAAGGTCGCCAACAGCCGGGTTGGGCTCCGGGGCAGGAACGGGGGTGCGCTTCTCATGGACGTGACGGTGCATGTGGGCGTGGCCTGAAGGGTGGGCCGATGCGCCGGCAGCGGCAAGCAGGATGAGCGGGGTGAGATGCATCTTGCTGGAGTGTACTTGTCTATCCGGTTGCAAAGGATGTGGAATTCGTGATCGGGTCGTCGTTAAGTCGTCGGATGCCGGAGCTGGTGTGCGTGTTTACTTTCTCTGCCACTTTCCAGAAGCTGGGGTTGGATGGTGTTCCAAGCTGGCTGGCAGGCTGGAGTCGGCGATCCTTTGGTGCTTAAAGAGCGTGGTTACCTGACGGTGGAAGGAGTGTGGTGATCGGGCGCTGGTGTTGTCGAAAGAGTGACAGACTTCGCGATGGCGAAGAGAGGGGAAAAGAGCGGCGTTGACGAGAGCGTCTGAGGAGATAGAAATAAAAGAAGGGAAGGGACGAGAGGGAAACGGGGTGGAGAGGCAGGGGCAGGGATGAAGAGAGAGTGGGATCCCAGTAGAACAAAGGAGCTAGGGTGGTTCGTTGGCGACCAGCCGGTGGGCCAGGGCCACGGCCAATCGACGACGACGAGGAACGGCCCCAAGGCCCCATCCTCTCATGGCACCCACACCCGCCGGGCGGACCAGACCTCTTGGGAAATAAGCGCAACATTGCGGACAGGGGTTGGAAGGAGCGAAGAGCCTTGGAAGGGCAGGTACCGATCTGGGAAGGCGCAGGTACCGCGGGCAGATGCCACTGATGAGGAGGGATGGGGAGGGAAGTGGGCACACCTCCAACCAGCGGAAGGGCGAGGCGCCCACCAGCGCCATTGATAGCGCGCTTCACATCGAACAAAGCGGTCCTGTTCCTTGCAGCGTTAGCCCCTACCCCTGCACCCCCCTTTCAGGAACGTCTCTGGGCGGCCCAGCCCAGGCTAATTGGCCAAATTAAAAATCTGGTCGTCTTGGCAGGCACCGTGTGCGGTGCGTTTCCTTGTGTGGCCGGCGGCATTTCTTCAGGGCAACAGGCCAACCGCGGGCCACCTCCCAGCCCTCCTGGCGCTGCTGCTCCCAGCCCGCCCAGAGCGTGGCTGATTGCTGGCGTCGACGACCCTAGCTCACCGCGGCTTGCGTGGTTTAGCCGTCCCACCGTGCCCTGGATCGGACAATTTCCATGGATATGGATCAGTAAAGTGGCTGCGGTTTGCACTGTCACCTCCTCCAGAGGTGCGTGAGACGGTGGCAGCCAGCTAGGATGTTTTCCAAGGCTCTTCCAAGGTGGGTGCGGTGTTCCTGAAGATCATTTCTGTTCCGAGCACGTTAATCAGACGGCGCCGCAGCGCGGCCACTCAACGGCTGCCGCGTTCTGTCCCCTGAGCCACCAACGGGCTACAGAAAACGGAAAGCAAAATGGAATGTAAACAGTCACAACACGTTTGCGGAGCACAGAAACATGCCAATCTGACATGCATCTGCCGTGCACGCATGCAGGTGCATATTCCAAGCTTTTTTTTTTCTTGTTTCTTCTTTGCCTCGCGTCTCTCGCGGTAGGGCCTTGTGTCGGACAGACGATTTCCCTTGCCTTGACTCCCCAACACATGTGTCCGTCCCACAAAACAAGGCCCACCCTTCCTTCTGGGTGCTGACCCCTCATTGGGTCGGTCGTCCGCTAGTGGGATTGATGACCACTTCTGCACGGCTGGCGGTATTTATTTATGCCTCGGTGCCGGCAGTGGGACACCACCACCCAGCGAAAAGGCTCGCGCTCACATGCCGAACCAGACCCAGACGGACAGATGGATGGGCTGGGGGGCGGGTCACAGGGCGTAGAGGAGAGTGCTGTCGTGTATTGTATGTGAATGAATGTTGATGTGTCGATGTGAAAGAGGCAGGCAACAACTTCCAGGGGCCGCCGTTTCTCGCAGCAAAATTCAAGCCCAAGCCGGTGTGGCCAAGAAAGGCCTTCTTCCCAACCACCCCGCCCCTTTTTTTGCTTTTCGCGCCAGTGCAGGGCACAAACTCTCAGCCCAAGGTACCATGAGCCACTCGGGATTGCGCCTTGGAGCACGGCTCTGTGCCAGGGCCACGCACTCCCCAATCCCCGTCCGCCGCGTTCCCAGAGCTGCACAGGATCGACATGCGTACTCCCAGCTGGCTGGCGACGCCCAACGACGCCCGGGGAGCCGTTCCGGCGCCGCCGCCGATCACCATGGTAGGCCCCTGTCCGGCAGCAGCGGTGTGATGGGCCAGCGCAGCGCATCCAACCACAGCCCACAGCAGCAGCAGCAGCAGCACGACGCCGCCCGGGCCCTGTCTGTCAGCCTGCCCGACGGCGAGGAGGCCCGTCTGTCCAAGCTCTGGCTGCGCGACAGCTGCAGGTGCAGCTCCTGCGTCGACCCCTCTTCCGGTCAGAAGAACTTTGAGACGTGCGACATCCCCGCGTCGCTCATGGTCGATGCCCAGTCCGTGCTTCCGGACGGCTCCCTCGAGGTCCGATGGGCCGACGACTTCCTGTCCGGCGGGGCAGCCCACCACTCGGTGTACCCCGTCTCGCTCGTCGCCAGGGCGGCGGCGGCAGCGGCCTCGGCGACGTCAAGCGTGATCATGGCGGGCGGCCCGCGTGTTTCCCGCACGGCCTGGGACCGCAAGTCGTTCGAGGCGCAGGCCAGCTTCATCCCCTACGTCGACTGGGTCAAGGGCGGGGACGAGTTTTGGTGCGGGTTCGCCGAGCTGGCGCGCCTGGGGCTGGTCTTCATCCGGGGCGTGCCCGAGTCCGAGGCGGCGGTCGAGGAGATCGCGCGGCCCATCGGGCACCTGCAGACGACGTTTTACGGCAAGACGTGGGACGTGGTGTCCAAGCCGCAGGCTGAGAACGTGGCCTACACCAACGTCTTCCTGGGCCTGCACCAGGACCTGCTGTACATAAAGGACCCGCCGCGCCTGCAGTTGCTACACTGCCTCGCCAACAGCTGCGAGGGCGGCGAGTCGCTGTTCAGCGACGGCGTCCGCGCCGCCGAGGCCGTGCGCGCCGCCGACCCGGCCCAGTTCGCGCTGCTGCGCGACGCCCCCGTGCGCTACCACTACGACAAGAACGGCTACTGGTACGAGTGGAGCAGGCCCGTGGTGACGCTGGCCGCCGACGGGAGCGGCGCCGTCGACTCCATCGGCTGGTCGCCGCCGTTCCAGGACCACTTCCTGCCGCCTCCCATGCCAGCCGGCGCCGGCGACCCGCTCGAGGACTGGCGCGCGGCGGCGCGGCGGTTCAGGGATGCGGCATGCGCGCCCGACGCCATGTTCGAGTACAAGATGGAGCCGGGCGAGTGTGTTATCTTTGACAACATGAGGGTGCTACACGGGCGGCGCCAGTTCAACGTCACGTCGGGCAAGAGGTGGCTCAAGGGGACCTACGTCCAGGAGCAGGTGATGCTCAGCAAACTGGCCCAGATGCCGGCGGCGCTGAAAACTAGTTGATGATTACATGATAGCCTAGATGCCTGTGCATCCCTAGGGTAGGTATTAAGCTATCTAGAGACCCGTAGGAATCATGCCCAGCCCCGTGTTTCTCATGGTCTGAACTTGAGTGACCTCGGCGGAGAAGGGAACCTGGGACGGTGATGCTCCGATGCTATTCCCGACTTCCCATCGGGCCAGAACAATTTTCGATCCTTCTCCGGCCCCGGTGCTATTTACGAGCACCCTGGTCCAATTGGTTGCGAAAATAGCGACCGTTGCATCGCATCCTGCCGTCACCATCAAGCGTCTTACTGTGGGTGAAATTTCTGGCCCTGCTGCAGGCGTCGGTGCTTTCCTCGGGCAGGCTTGACCCCGCTGATTCGTGGATACTGACAAAGTACCAGACATTTCTATTTCTGGTGGCAGAGCGAAAGATGTGC